ACATTTTTATTTAAATTTATTTGATATTTTACAATAATTACATTTAATAATTTAAATTTATTAATTATTAAAAATACAAAATCAGAAATACTACTAATACTGAAATTTTATCTGAAATCCGGTATCCAGGTTGGAGCAAATTCCCTACAAAAAAAATAAAAAAACATTAAAGAAAGTTTTTTAAAAAAAGTTTCAAAAGTTAAAACTTACTTATGGGATTCCAGTATATACATCTATCAGAGCCGATTCCCTATAATAGAATAATAAAAAAACGTTTATTACCATTTTTTTTAATAGTTTCGAAAAAAATTCTGAAACTTATTACTTATTGGATTCTATGGGATTCGTTATACCGATTCCCTATAAAAGAATTAAAAAAAAAATGTTAACGTTTTTTTAATAGTTTCGAAAAAATATTTTTTGAAACTTACCTATGGGATTCGTTATACCAATTCCCTATAATAGAATTAAAAAAAACGTTAGTTAACATTTTTTTAAAAGTTTTGAAAAATAATTTTTCGAAACTTACCTATGGGAATCGGTTATAACGAATCTTATAGATAAGTTTCGAAAAATATTTTTCGAAACTTATCTATAAGATTCGTTATAACCGATTCCCTAAAAAAACGTTAGTTAACGTTTTTTTAATAGTTTTGAAAAATAATTTTTCAAAACTTACCTATGGGATTCGTTATACCGATTTTCTATAATAGAATTAAAAAAAAACGTTAGTTAACGTTTTTTTAAAAGTTTCGAAAAATATTTTTCGAAACTTATCTATGGGATTCGTTATAACCGATTCCCTATAATAAAATAATAAAAAAACGTTAGTTAACATTTTTTTAATAGTTTTGAAAAATAATTTTCGAAACTTACCTATGGGATTCGTTATAACTGATTCCCTATAATTGTATATTAAAAAAAAAGAGTTTTGAAAAATTTTTTCAAAACTCACCTATGGGATTCGTTGTAACCGATTTCCTATAATAGTGTATTAGAAAAAAAATGTTAAAAACGTTTTTTAATAGTTTCGAAAAAGAATTTTTCGAAATTCATCTATGGGATTCGTTATAACCGATTCCCTATAATTGAATAATAAAAAAAAATGAGTTTCGAAAAAGAATTTTTCAAAACTCACCTATGGGATTCATTATAACCGATTCCCTATAATTGAATATTAAAAAAAAGTGAGTTTCGAAAAATTATTTTTCGAAACTCATCTATGGGATTCGTTATAACCGATTTCCTACAATAAAATGTTAAAAAAAAATGTTAAAAATCGTTTATTAATATCTTCAAATAAATGGTTTTTTCAGTTTAATAAAGTTTTGAAAGTAAAATATTTGAAGCGTTTTACCTGTGAATGTCAAATGCATCAGGAAAACTAGGTGGATTTATATCTCTCATAGATTCTATAAGAAGCAAAAAATTTATATGATTATATCCTAAGACTTCCATAATTTTAAGGTAAATTAAATTAATTAATTATTATTGACATTCTATAAAAAAAAAAAAAGAATGGTTAGTAAACTATTCGTAATAATAAAAAATAAAAAAAATTAAAGATTCGTATCGTACTTACGAATCTTTAGATTTTTGTTCTTCAGAAGCCCACCCAAACTAGCTATAAAAAAAAGAAAGAATGGTTAATAAACCATTCGTAATAATAAAAAATAAAAAAAAATTAAAGATTCGTACTTACGAATCTTTAGGTTTTCGTTCTTCGGATGCCCACCCAAACTAGCTATAAAAAAAAAAAAGAATGATTAATAAACTATTTGTAATAATAAAAAAATAAAAAAATTAAAGATTCGTATTTACAAATCTTCATATCGGCTGATTTGATTACTTATCCCGATATATTTAATTTTTAAGTTATTTTTGGCAAAAAGTGTTACATAAGATGCAGTAAAGTTAGGGTATTAATTCGAAACAAAAAATTTAAGTAAAATTATTGTCATTATTATAAATTAAGTTTTGGCTAAAATAATGTTAATTCCGGCCAGAATTAACATTGCATTTCAATACAATTAAAAAAACTTTTTTATTATTTTATTTAGTTAATGAATCTTTAGTTTATTGATAAATTATGTAATTTTTTTTATATGTTCAAACCTAACAAGTTATTATTAGCATAGTGAACATTGCTAATAAATTTTTTAAAAATTAATTTTAACGAATTTTTTAATTTTATTAAATCTTAATATTGTCATCGTATCATAATTTTATACCTTATTTTTTTTTCTAATGGGAAACAGAAACTGTTACACAGTCTAAAGTGCATAACGTGCACAATTTGATTGGATCAACGTCCCATTATCCGATTCTTGATATTTTAATCAATAACATATCACTTTACATAGGATTACAGTCTTTTGTTACACTTTGGTATAATAATTAAAAAAATTGAATGCATTAAAGTTATATTAAAATAAATGATTAAAATATTTAATAATGTTTCATTTAAACAAAATATAAAATTGACTTCTCACTAAATTAATAAAACCAAAATTATTTTTCAATCTTCAATATGAAGTTTCTTTGGTTTTGAAGAAATTGTGTTATCATTAAATAGGTAAAAAAGAGACCTATTTTCATATTCAAGAATGTCTCTTATTACCAATTTGTGTTTACTACCACCACCTTTAAGAGTTTGTCGAAAAAAATGAGTGACCTGTTGATGGTTCTTTTTCTCAACAGGTGCACATGAGAACGCTTTCATTCCCCATTTCTGATGTATTTCCATGAACTCAGATATGTGGCAAACAAGAACATGAATATATGGCGTAATTGAACTTGGACTATACAATCCTTTTTCAATACGATTTGAGTTGGGAATAATTCTATCTGGAGTTAAGAACAATTCTAGCCAATCTTCAACTTCAAATTGGAATTGTTGTACATCGTAATCTTTTGTTTTAAGATTGAAATAAATTTGGTTAAACCTATTCCATAATTCACGAATTTTTTTAGCTCTTGTAGGTGGTAAAATTCGACCTAAATTAAAATTTTTTAAAACTTTTAATTTGTCATCACCCATTAATGACGTGTGATTCCATGCATCAGCTCCATGTTCCTTCCAAAATTGGAAATTTACACTGATTCGGCTCATTTCCTGCATAATTTCTTTACGACATACATCATCAAATTGATTGGATTCTTTCAATTCTGAAATGACCAAACTCCAAAGACGATCCCAAATACGAAGCATGATGTGGAGCTCATCTGGAACCCAGTTATTTAAAGAAATCATGTAAAAAAGAGGCCTTTTGTTATGACCTGGGTATTCATTAATTTTTTCAATCTCCTTGCTTATTTTCCAATTTGTTTGGTTATTATTTTGGCCATGTTTGGATATTTGACACCAAGGACAAAAAAAATTTGAATTTGCTGCATTAAATCCAAGGCAAATTGATAGGAATTTCCAATCTGAACTAAAATATAGTTCAAATTTCCAAACAATTTCATCAATTTTTAGGCCATAATTTTTAAGATCATCTAATTCTTGGATAAAGGGCATCATCATAATTTCTAAAAGCTCATAATTTTCTATACCAGGAAAAAGAACTGTGGTATAATGGTAGTCAGGTTTATGAATATTTTGAATATCGTTCAAAATTGTCATGGTGATCATCACTTGTTTAAGTCTTCTTCCTACGTTGCGCCCATCTCCTGATATTCTCAAATGAATTATTGGATCATTTACGTCCAATACTCCATTAAGAGCTAGAGCTGGTATAATATATTTCAAAATATCTTTTGCACTACGATGCCCACCATTTGAAATATTATTTATTTCAGTTATTTCTGAATTTAAAATGTTTGAACTTTCATCAAAATCTAATTCATTTAAAGTTGGAACAATGGGAATATTAATAATGCTGATCATAATTTTTTGATCCATAATTCTTGTAATTTTATGTCATCGATCTGATACTATCCATTCACGTTCTAAATCAGGTTCTATTGCAGTCAAAGCCCGGTAGCCTTCACGAGGAATATAATTTTGGTCAATTATTTGTACTATTGATGTAAGCTTTTTTTCTTTTTCTTCATTATCTTTTAAACCATAATTGATTTGAAAGTCGGTGTGATTAACATTATACAAAATTCGCTTAAGAGTGACTTGATCTTCACCATAAATTTTAACTCCTTTAATTTGGACTTGTTCTTTTAATTGATCTCCAAAATTTCGTTGCCTTTTATATACCATTGACTTACTACAAAGATCAAGTGGTTTTAATGGTTTCGATTGATTAATATTCTCTTTTTTTTTTTCTCTCACTTGTTTTAATGTTTTCAGGTGAATTCCAAAAAGATGTATGCCTGATATTAATGTCTTCTCATTGTTAGGAAAAAGCTTCTAAAAAAAAAAAAATAAATAAATAATTTATAATATTTAAAATTTAATTAAAAAATATTTTAATAATACTCACTCTTACAACGGCATTTGCTGCTGCTGTTGAAGACATGTTTGAACAAACCTCTTCTGAAAAATCCAACCCATACATAATCCTAAAATGCGGCTTATCTCTTACATAATTGATAGAGCATTTTACTGTACGTTTGTTATTACCACGACCCCATGTAGTTTCCACACAATAACAATCAGGAATTTTATATTTATTTTTTCCTTGAGAAAAGGCCAAAACTGAAGGCTGAGGATATAGACCTTCCATTTTAACTACATATTGGTAGCTTCGTCTTCTGTCAGTGTACAATATAACGTTTGTTTTTGGATATTCGGTAATTTCCTTGGAAATATTATTACAGGTTCTTTTTATAGTTTTTTCTTTTGGCATTATTATAATTTTGCGTATTGTTCAAAAAAAAAATTAAACTAAATGTAATAAGATGAAAAAAAAATAAATAAAAAAAAAAAATAAATAAAAATTTTTTTTTTTTTTTTTTT